CTGTCCAAGGGTTGTGTCCCTTACCCGGCCACCAATATAACCCTGTCTTCTGAGACAACTGAGCCAGGCTAATGGGCGACACAAGTCGAAGATATAAAAACAAAGGTATGTCACGACCCTGTCACGCCACGCTCAGGACACTGGATCCAGCCTCCTCTCCATCCCCCAATCACACCCGCACCTCGCCCCATCCAACTAGCATGGGGTCAGCATGAGAAAGCCAGGGCCACAGCAAACTAGGAGCGAGTATGAGGCACTGACGGTGGGTGTGGCTTCAAAAAACTTCAAGGAATAGCCAGGTGTTGTGTGCAAAATGCTCGACTCCACGGCCCTGAGCAGGTGTTTAATTCACCAGGAAGTTTAGTTTACAAGATCAACACCAAGCTTATCCCACAAACTCCACATGACCCGGAGTCTGTCTTTCTGTCTGTCTGTAAGCACCCACAATTCTCTGGCTCCAACTTGACACTGTGGGGTTCAGGATCGAGCCTCACTATTGAAAGAAATTGGGTTCAGGGAGCTGGAAAGATGACTCAGTGATTAAGAGTATGTACTTCTTTTCCAAAGGACCCAAGCTTAGTCCTCAGCATCCATAGCAGACAGAGCCCTCTTGTGGCCTCTATGGACACTGCACCCATGTGCACAGACACAACCCTTCAAACATGCATGAATTTACATAAATAAAAATAAATATTAAAAAAAGAAATTTAATATTGAGACTAAAATGCGGATTCAGTGGGGAAAGTTCGACAGTTCTGGAAGCAGTGTTCCAGAATTTTTTTTTCTTTTTTGGTTTTTTTTCGAGACAGTTTCTCTGTGTAGCCCTGACTGTCCTGGAACTCACTCTGTAGACCAGGCTGGCCTCGATCTCAGAAATCTGCCTGCCTCTGCCTCCCAAGTGCTGGGATTAAAGGCGTGTGCCACCACTGCCAGGCCAGAAAATTCTTAAATGTCCTCTTTTAACAGAGTCTCCCCAGGATATCTAGAACTCAAGGGGCAAAACCTCAGTGATTCTCATTCCACTTTCATGATTGTTTTATTTTAATTTTAATTAATTTACTTTACATCCCGACCACAGTTTCCCCTTCCTCTTCTCTGTCCACTCCTCCCCGCCTCACCTCCACTCCTCCTCCCTTTCTCTTCAGAAAAGGGGAGGTATGTTAGCATACCAAGTTGCAGTAAGTCTAGGTGCATGCTCTCCTATTGAGTATAGATGAGCAGCCCAGTAGCAGGAAAGGGTGCTGAAGGCATGGAACAGGGTCAGAGACAGCCCTGCTCCCTCTGTTAGCAGCCCACATGAAGACCAAGCTTCCCAACTGTAACAGGTACAGATGGCCTAGGTCCATCATGTTCATGATTCTATTTTTTATTCTCGCTAAATATACATCCGTCTTTTTCCTAATATCAACCTGTGGATATCTATTTGATTTAATTATTTCTTTTTGGAGTGGCGGTGAGCAAATCCATGGTCTTCACACATGTTCTACTACTGAGATGTGCTCCTAGCCCTACGTTTACTTAGTTTTGAGGTAGGTCTTCATGGTGCAGCCCAGTCACAGCAAAAATAAGGAAAGGGAGACAGTGGTAGAATTCCTGAGTGCCCCAGCAAGGGCTGGGCAGGGCTCAGTGATAAACCACTTTGCCTAGAATCCCCCAGTAAGGTGTTAGGTGTAGCTCAATGTAGACCACTGCCCTAGAGCCCTCAAGTAAGGAGTTGGGGGTGCAGCGTGGCTTAATGACAGAGCCCTTACTTACCTAGCATGTAGGGACTCTGGGCTCCATTTCCCGTACCATCAAAAAATATAGCGAGATATGGTCAGTTCCAAAGTCACTATGGAGACTCCATAATGGAGGTGCCTCGTATCAAGCAAGGTCTGTCCCTCTTCTATCACGTTGTCCCACCGTCTTTAGAGGCCCCACCCTTTTGTAGTCAGCAGAAGCTCCCACAGAGATTCCCGCTTGCTCAGTCAGCTTCAAACCCCTGGGGTTCATCCTGGAAGGGCCTTCAAAGGCCTTGACCATTCTTGATTGGGCGCCAAGACAGAATCTGCTCTTGGAGACAATTTAGCCAGCCACACGGGTGGAAAGAATGTCCCCATTCTCTTAACAGCGACCCCCTCTTGATTTATATGTGGGGCCACTGTCCGAAGGCCCCCGGCAGATGGATCTTGAGTGGAAAATGAGAGGCCGAGAGCCAGGCGTCTGGCTGGGCTAATTATCCTCAATGAGATACAGCTGGCTGGGGGAGCGGGCTGAGGCCCAGGGCGGGGCCAATTCCTTGCCCCAGCTCTCTGGGGACCCAAAGGCCTGTTTGGGCTTGCAGCCCATCCCCTACCAGGTCTGATCAGGGTTCACCAGGCATTCTAGGAGATCCAGTTTGGCCAGTTTATAAGAAAAACAGAAAAGAGGCTTCAGTCTTGGATTCGCTGCTACCCTGAGCCATGATAGTCCCTAAGAGGCCAAGATTCACCTGAGTTCATTCTTCTTATGGGGAGACTGAAGACTAGACTGGCCCGGTAGGCGTGGTGAACCCCAAGGGAGGGCTCTGGAACTGGGTGCAGTACCAACTTTGCCCACATGGGGCACATAACTGTGTATCGGCCTCCATAGGGCCTGGCTGCAGCGCCGCTGCAGGCTGATTCTCTGGGTATTGTAGGGTTGGAAAGACTCTGACTCTACCATACACTAGGCCTATTAGCCACCAGACCCTACAATGGGGTCTAGGGGTGTTGTAATGATCAAGACTCCACCTGAATCCCACTCTTTTGGACTTAAAATTCCCCAACAGAAGTACCTGGTGGGCCAGGTAGCTGTCTCAGTAGAGAAAGGTGTTTGCCATCCAAGAGCCTGACAACTTGAACTGTATCCTAAGGAAGGAGAAAAACAACTTCCACACATTGTCCTCTGACATCGACATGAGCATGCAAACAGGTGTGTGGGCATGAACACACACACACATAGCGATAATACACATTTTTCAGTGTCTGATTTTCTGAAAGGTCCTTAACCTGTTGCAGGTGTCAGGGCTGAGCTGAGCTGCAACCGCGTAGCCAGGACGGAGCAAGAGAGTGGAACAAAGTTCCAAGCAGAAGAACTAGCATAAGCAAAGGTCCTGTGTCCAGAGCAAGTGGCACAACAGTAGAAGTACAGCAAGGTCTTAAACTGGTTTTTTTGTTGTTGTTTTGCAGCACTGAGGATTGAACCCAGGACTTCAAGTAGACTAGGCGGGTGCTCTACCACTGAGCCACGCCCCCAGCCCCTCACTGGGGGATTCTAGGCAGGTAGTCTCTACTTCTGAGCAACAACTGCAGACATGTTTTTACTGTTCACTTTGAGAGCAGATCTCATAAGTTCCTCTTGAAGTCAGTGCAGTTTTAACTGGTTTTATTGATCACCACTGTACTCTGGCTCAGAGAGCAGATGAAGGAAGAATGAGGAGAAAGGAAGGTGAGTGCCCCTTCCACACGCACCTCCTCTTTAACCTGTGGGATCCCCTTTGACCTCTGCACTGACTGCCCATGTCTCTAGTGAGCCAGGGCCCCTGCAGTATGGCAGGTCCAGCTATCAGAGTCTCAAGGAAGGGGGTGTCAGAGACTGCCTAAGACGCCCACTCCCTGTAGCCCTGGCTCTGTCTCCTTCTGTGGGACACAAACAGGTCTGACAAGTCTTCAGTGTAGACAGGGCTCAGCTCATGACTTCCAGGAAAGTGAGTCTTAGAAAGCGAGGGGCAGCCAGAGCTGTGGTAGAGGAAGGACTCTTCTAGAAGCCTCAGCCTCTTCTCTACTAGACCCCTCACTGTATCCCAGGCCAGGTTGTGGGGAACCTCTCCGCCCCCCTGAAGGAATGGAATGACAAGGGCTCCCACTTTCCTACGTCTTTCTGTTTATCTGTCTTGCCCTCTTCTCTCTCTCTCTCTCTCTCTCTCTCTCTCTCTCTCTCTCTCTCTCTCTCTCCATCTCTATCTCCATCTCTGTCTGTGTGTGTGTGTGTGTGTGTGTGTGTGTGTGTGTGTGTGTGTGTCTGTCTGTCTGTCTGTCTGTCTGTCCTATTGCTTTCTTTATTGGAGATAGGATCCTACAGGCCAGGCTGGCCTCCAACTTGCAATCTTCTTGGACTGAACACTCTGAATGTATGAGACAAAAATAAATCCTTTCTCTCTGAACTTGTTCCCAGCTGCCATGTTCGGGGGGGGGGGAGCCAGTGAGGTGGCGTAGGAAGTGAAGGCACTTGCTGCCAACCTGAGACCTTTATTTCATCCCCAGGACCCAATGGTGGAGGGAGAGAAGCAACTTCCCTCTGTGTCCTTTAACATCTATACACTCGCAGATATTGTATGTATCTGTACATACAATAAAGTAAGTCATATTTTCCATTATTCCCTTGCAGGCTTAAATATAACACACAGAGGATATGGGACTTTCGTCGAGATCTGTGTGCCCCCAGAACCTTCTGTCCTCTCTGTGATCTGGCATCCTCAGTGGTGTCTTTTGGTGAGCAGACGTTTTTAATCACAGTGAAGTCCCCTTTAGCTCCATCTAGCCCAGCTTTGATGCCATGCGTGCGAGTGGAGAACTCTCTGCCTACGTTTTAAATGTCCCTGAACCCATCTCTTCTCCCCAACTTCTTCTGCCCGGCTCTGTCTGCCAAGTCTCTCTCTCTCGGTCCCACCCTCCACCCCACTCACATCCTGTCCCAGCTTTGGCCCATCTGAGACTCTTTCTCCCCACAGTTCTCATGACCCTACTTGCACACGAACAACCCTGTCTCATCCAGGAGACTCAAAGACGCTAGGTGCTCAATAAAACCCCCATCAATGAAGTCAATGCCCTGTGGTCCAGATGGGGGGCATTAAAAATGCCCATTGCTTCTAAACAACAGCTCATCAGGAACAGCTGAGCAGAGCAAAGGAACCAAGAGTTTTGGAAAAACTAGCGTGGAAGGGAGTGTTTCACCATCTTCCCAACCAGAGTGCTAACCACGCAAACATCACCCAGATGCACTCTCTGTGTTATTTATTCCCGCTTCAGCCCCGGACTCCGAGGGTGATGGAGACTGTTTCCCTACCGATGCTATCCCTGCACTGGTTCCCACCCCACCCCATCTTGACTGACTCCAGGTATGGAGGAGACACCTCTAGTCTTTCTCCTCGCCGTGTGTGATGACATAGCACAGATTCCTGTAGTCTAAGTTGCCACAGACATCTGGTGGGAAAGCTGCAAACATCTGCTTGACCTGTGAGAGGGAGCAGAGGGTCGGGTTAAATGGAGGCTCACCAGGTGAAGAAAGGAGAAGTCAGAACAATGGATCGATGGGAATGTCACCCCCACAGACCCACTTACCTCCTCCTCACTGAACCGGTCGGCCTGGGTCATAAGCTTCTCCTTAATGCTGTAGGTAGAGAGAAACCATCATGTCTTGTGGAAAAGCTGCCTGGTGGCCACGTGGACATGAAGTCTCTAGGAGCGCTCCAACCCAGATGATCCCAGTCTAGGGCTGGTTCTCCCAGCCCCAAGGCATCTCTTTGACCCCTAAGTGCTTCTCTTGCAGCCTGTACTCTCCTAGCAACAACCAGGAACAGATGAACAATCTTGAGACTCCGATGTGACTTGGAGGCTTCTCAGATTCCCATGGTGTGCGTACAACTAATCTTAGACTCCTGGGAGGGGTCCTTATATTTGTCAGAGAGTGGAACCCAGGACCTAGACCATGTAATGCAAATGCTCTACTGCCCCTCCCTGGGGGATTCTAGGCAGGGGCTCTACCACTGAGCCACGCCCCCAGCCCCTCACTGGGGGATTCTAGGCAGGGGCTCTACCACTGAGCCACGCCCCCAGCCCCTCACTGGAGGATTCTAGGCAGGTGCTCTACCCTCAAGTTGTATCCCCAGTCCTCACTACTTTCTGTTTTGAAACATCTCACTAAGTTTTCCAGGTTTACTACAGACTTACTCTGTAGCTCAGATTGGTCTTGAATCTCCTAGCTCAGCTTCTAGAGTAGCTGGAATGACCAGCCTGCACCCCCCCACCCCCTGCCCCCACCCCACCATTATCTTTTCCAGCTTGTGGTTTTGGCTGTTTGTGTTTGGCCCCAGCATTTCCCAGACTACATCATACTGTTTAAGGTGAAGAGCATCATGGGAAGATGTGGTCCAGTCTTCTCATGAATTCCTTTAGACCTTGCTTCCTGAAAAACCTGGGACATTTATGCAAGATTCCCTTTTATCTAGGGAGAAACCAAGGCTTGGGAGGGTTTCCGGCTTCCCTGCCATCCCAGAGGGAGGCTGTGACAGAGTTGGGTCTGTCTCCTTGGGATCCAGGAAAATACAGCTGGAGGCGAGGCCTGCACCCAGTTCTGGATGATAATTTATATCCTTCACAACCAGCGAGGGTTTGCAGACATGGGGTTCTGTGGGCAAGGATGGGGTCAGAGAGCTGAGCAGAGCCTCTGCTCTCAGGGTATCCTCTGGCGCCATTGGTAGCAGGCCCTGGTTAAGGAGCGACACATAGTTTCCGTTGTTTATTACTATGGAACAGTCACAGTTTCCAGGTTGCCAAAGATGGGGACTTTGTATAGACTCTGCTTCGACCAGATCCACTTCTGTGGCCTATCTGGCCAGCAGCCCTGTCTGCTAGGTTTCCACAGCCCAGGATTGTTCCTCCCATTCAAGATGAGTCCCTCGGGGGCACTCCTTCCTCTCCCCACCTCACTCCTATCTTCATATTGGTGGGAGATAAGATGATTCCGGCCATGCTGGGAGTGGGGGCATTCTCCTGGTACCTCTCTGAGTCCTCAAGATTCAGGAATGAGCACAGACCCAGAGGATGGGGTTTTGGTTTGATGTGCCCTTGGCACTTTGGTAGTCCCTCTGTCCCTCTGCACCCCAGGGAGCCTGACTCTCAGCCTTTGAGGACAGTATGTAAGAAGGCACATGAACGTCTATCTGGGCAAGATTCCATCCACCCCTCCCCCACCCCCATAGCTGGAAGCTTCTATGGGCAGCCAGACCCATCAGCACCTGAACTCCTAAAGAATGACTGTCACCAGATACCAGCCTATCCTTGAGACGGAGGGACATCTCACCAGGTAGAGCCACCTAAGAACCAGCAAACTTTGAAAGGGACATCTTGGAGGTTGGCTGAACTTCCAGGGACCAATGTAGATTGCCGCTTCCTGACCTTGGCTCTTCGTCCCTTTTGCTCTTACTAAGACGTTTCCCATGTGTGTATGAAACAGGCCACCAGAACAGGGCCCACCTCTGTCATGCTAGCCCAAGGGCCTGCAGGATGGCTGCTTATGGCCACTTCCTACCCAGTTTTCCCAAGCGGAGCTGGCCAGTGGCGTCCCCATCTGGCCCTGTCCTCTCCCCAAACCCTGGTTTCTGGATCTTTGCTGGCCAGTCCTTCCCTTTCCACCCGCATATCCATGGGCCATAATCATCTCCTCCTCCTCTCCCTCCTCCTCCTCTCCCTCCTCCTCCTCTCCCTCCTCCTCCTCTCCCTCCTCCCCCTCCTCTTCCAGGCTCCAGGCTATTCATTCCCCAGATCAGCAGCCCATACACACTAAACCCTGGTTCACCTGTGCTGTCCCCACACCTAGAATACTATTTCCGCCCCAGACTGGCCAATCTGGACCCATCCCTCAAGGCTCACCCCAATCTCTCTTCATTCCCAACACTCAGAAGCAATCCTTGACCCATACTGCCCCTTCACTTCCACACCAAGAGAGGGGGAGCACCAGATCAGGAGGGAGGGAGGGTATACCAGGAGGAATGGCTGGTTTGGGGCAGGGGCCTCTAGCCACTGGATGTATGTTTGCCCTGCTCAGCTGAGTTCTGAGGAAGAGAGGAGCCAGGGCTGACACCCACCCTGGCTCAGTCCTTAAAACTTACAAGTCAGCCTTGACGAAGCCTTTTCCTTCAGTGTCAAACACTTTGAAGGCGTGCAGTATGGTCTCTTCTGGGTCCGTGCCTATAGGTAGCACACATAGGACAAGAAAGGTTAGCAAGGCCCTCTCAGAAGTGGTGCTGAACTGGGCAGGAGTTAAGAGACAGGGAAGGTCTCCAACTCCTACTGAGCCACGCCCCCAGCCCCTCACTGGGGGATTCTAGGCAGGGGCTCTACCACTGAGCCACGCCCCCAGCCCCTCACTGGGGGATTCTAGGCAGGGGCTCTACCACTGAGCCACGCCCCCAGCCCCTCACTGGGGGATTCTAGGCGGGGCTCTACCACTGAGCCACGCCCCCAGCCCCTCACTGGGGGAGTCTAGGCAGGGGCTCTACCACTGAGCCACGCCCCCAGCCCCTCACTGGGGGAGTCTAGGCAGGGGCTCTACCACTGGGCCACGCCCCCAGCCCCTCACTGGGGGATTCTAGGCAGGGGCTCTAC